AAAGTCAGTGGGTCCCACGCTCTCGCGCTGGGCCGGCCGCCCCTGCGCGGCGGTGGCAGCCGCTTCCTGCGGAGGTAGCCAATCACGGCTGCCGCGCCTCCGCACTCTTCCTTTCTGTTCTCCTTTCCCACACGGCCGCCGTTGAGTGGCGCTGGTTTGGGCGGCGGCAGGTGTGCTGATGGGCCGACGGGACGGGGTGGGTGAATCATCGCCGTCCCATCCCCGACCGGTGGGCTCCTGATCGGACGCGCCGGCAGCCGCCACAAGAACCCGCACTTACCTGATGGCCGGATGGCCGGGATTCGTCACGGGCTGAGCGGAACGCCGGTCGGTCGGGCCGGGACGCAGTCGTGTTGATTAGTTCTCAGCTCATCCGCGGCGGCAGGGACGGGGGCGGCTGACCGGCACCGCCGTGCGAGGAGCGACACACGTCCCGTAATTACCGTCCATTTGCTGGGGGCGGACGCCGGCCGCCCGGGCCGCTTTGTGCGCTCGGCGGGGGTCGGGCTCGGCCGGCGCCCCTCGCTACTAGAGTTGCAAAATTTCCCTACCGCACTACCGGCATGCCGGTAATTTTCACTACCGCAGGTTTTTTCGTGGTATCTGGCATGTCTTGCCGGTAGCATGCCGGTATTTTTGATTTTGCACAAAAAAAAATTATCAGCATATGATTCAAACTTTGGACACTAAGAGGCTATTGAATTGTAATAACAGCAATCTTAGCCACTGCAAAATACATTTTGTGGTAAAAGTTCCATATGCCGTATTAAAATTACCGCCAAATTACCGGTATGCCGGTAATTTGGCGGTTTTTTTTGCTTGGGGCGTGGTAGCATGCCGGTATCCCAGAAAATTTTTGTGGGGCGGGGCGGTGCCGGTAGCAGCCCATTGGGAAAACTTTGCAACTCTACTCGCTACCCCTCACCGAGCACACCGGCCGGGCAGGTAAACAGAGGGTCCGGCCGCCGCACCAGCACTGAACACCGATCCAGATCAGCTGCGAGCTGTCATGTCACCCATAAACACAGGTCCAAACGCACCCACTTGGGACTGCCGGCTTCCGAGGCATGCGCTGATCCGTCCGCCAGCCGCACCGCGCACAGCCACAAAAACTCGCCGCAGATGCCAGAAAATTTACATCAATGACATAAGATACAACTTACGGTGATGTTTTTGCCGAGCGCTTCTGGAGATGACAAGATCGGAGAACGACGGCAAAAACAAGTCTTTGTGTTGTTTATCAAAGGAGCGATTTAAAATGTATTGACGTATCTCAACGTCCACGGACGACGTATATTTATGAGTGCATATAAGGTCGGTTACCCCCTGCCTGGGCCGTTCCCGGCCTCACGCCAGTTGTGTGCGGAGCGTGGGACCTCTCTCACAGTGTCCAGAGCCGGCGGCGCTCCAACCACTTTACCGCAGCGCCGCCGCCAACGGCCACGTGACCGCAAATTTATTCAGGCGCGCGATTTATCCTGTATCGTAAACGGAGCGTGCTATGAGCCCGCCGGGAGTGCTGGGACGGCGTGCGCGTCCAAACATCCTCATCAGGGTCGGGTCCGCGCAGATTGCGGGCCGCGACCGACACCGCGCGGTTACTGATTGGTCCCGGATAATTGGGCCAGGTATGCGGGGCTGGGCAGAGCGAGGAACCTGGACGCAGTGGCATGGTCGGTCTTTCCGTGGCGAAGCCCGAGCTCATTGTTTTCTGCGAAACTCGCGGACCGCAACCTAACCTCGAGTGCCGTTGTCAGAGAGCTAGTCATATCTGGGGCAGAGTCCAGTGTTGCATAATCTCCAACGAGCGGCGATGGATGTTGTTCAAAACACACCCGGGGCGTGTAGCCGCCGGTTGTCATTATAGACCCCAGGTGGTTGGTCGTTAGCCCCGATAGTGCTCTGCCTTCCACCTCGCCGCGTCCCGCAGCCCCGGGGTAGGCCGGTGGCGCTCCTTCGCTCTCCGGCCCGCCTGCGAACGGTACCAGACTGCAGCCAAAGAGAACGGGAGCGCCGCGGAGTGGCACAGCACGCGCGGCGGCGGCGGTGGCGTTTGTGTGCGGGTCTCGCCGCGGGCCGCCGCCGCGGGCTGCTCCCACGGAATGGTTCCATTATGTCGGCACCAGCGGGAGCGGCGCCGGCGCTGTCTTCCCGGCTCAAGTGGTGCTTCTGTCGCCGCTGATGACAGCCTCGATAGCGCCAAATGTCCCTGCGACGCTGACTGGACGCCGGCTGTGTTGACGCCGACCAATCTCCGCAGCTGGGGTGCGTGGGTGATGGTTCTGAGACGGCTGCCGACTCAGCGGGGCGTCTTGGGGTGCTCTGATGGTCTGCCTCCCCTCCTGAAGCTTTGAAGCGTTCGCTACCGAACAGATGAGAGATCCCGGGGCTGTGAAGGGGAGCTGCCCGGGGTAGCCTCCAGAGGTCAGTGGAAGGACGGAGCTGCGCTGGGCGCCATCTAATGCTGCCTCGGGCGCCGCGAGCACCTCAGAAAAATGATAAATTGTTGGAACGAGGGCGAGACGCGCTCTCGTTGTGCCATCGCAGTGACTGGACGGGTGACGGTAACGATCTCTGAGTTCGGTCCGGGATCGGAGAGAGGAAGAGAGGGAGGGAGGGCTGGGAGTCGTTTGGTTGGAATTATGGCCAGAATTCGTCACCTTGCATCAGCCGGAGTGAAAGTACGGTGCGGCGGCGCGTGCGTGCGCGTGATACAGCTCCGTTCAGCTGGGATGAGGAATAGTCCTCGGGCGATGGCTGTAAAGAGACGGACACGCAAGGTCTTACGGTGGCTTGCATGCTCGGAAAACGTTCGACCTCCAAAGGCTTTAGTTGGCGGCCATTCAGACGACTGTGTACACAAGGGGCTGACAAAGAGTTGCCCGGCATCCGGTAATCTCGGCCTGCCGTTCACCGGGCCATCTGCCTCCCCCTGACTGGAACGACCCGCATGAACCGGGCTAATTTGCTGCGGCGGCGCGCCTGGGGAGCTGCCGGCGGCCACCCTCCCTCGCGGTGACACTGAGCTGGAGACAGGGGACATCTGGTTGTCAGCCGCCGCCGCCGTCGCCGCTTTGCCCTGCCCCAGGCTGATGTTTCCGGCGCCGGCGCCGGCGTCGCGTTGCCGCCGCCACGGTCTTGCTCCCTCTCCGCCGAGTGGGGTTGGCTCACGGCATCCCTCTGTCCCTCTGTCTCACTGTCGGTCGTCTCTGGGAACGGGTCTCTCTCCACTCCCTCTCTCGTCTCTCTGGGGCGGGGCTGGAACCGGTCCGAGCCGCCTCTGTTGTCTGTCCTTCGGTCCGGCCGACGCCGCCCCTTGCGGACGGGCTGGAAATTCAGAATCTACTCGCCGACACGTCGACAATCTATCCACATCACCTGGGAACTGTGACAAAAGGATCAGCATGGCCCGATTCAGATCCGCTATTCATCACTTGATCTCGATTTCTGTCGGTGTTGTTCCAGCGTCCGATAAGGCCGGATCTCACTCCGTTCACGATTCTGTTGCTCAACTTTCCCATCATCTCACTTCTCAGTTTTTCACTCCGTCGGGTTCTGTCAGTCCGGTGATATCTCAGCCACTTCTTTCCTCTCCACCTCTTCCCCTGGCTGTAAATATGCACCCCTCCTTCCCGAAGCTCGCTCGGTCTCTGCCCACGCCGATCAGCTGGCAGTCCATCTTACTCAGTCGCCGGACGGCAGCAACATTCCGTATTCTGGCCGCCGCCGGGACGTTGTGAAATATGTGTGTGATTTACTGGCGCTGCCGCCGACTGGACGCGTGCCGGAGAACATTGAACACTGATGAACACTGAGCGCCGCACACCGCCTGCCACCGGCAGTGAACGATGGCCGGTCTGTGGACAGCCTGTTCGCCCTCGCCCTCGCCGAGCGGGGTGGAGCTCGGCTCGCCCGTCCAGCCCTCGCCCGCGGCCTCTCCGGCTCCGTGTCGGCTTCAGGGTCGATCGCTCTGGCGCCTCATCTCGTCTGGTATCGTCTCGTATCGTGTTGTGCTGTGTTGCAACTCTACCGTCGGCGCCGTCGAACTTGGACGGAATCAAACGGAGCTTTTTTGTGAGGGATGCCGATGGTGGCCGGCTGCAGTCTGACAGCGCATCTGCAGCGGAGCGACTGGTCGGCGGCAGGTGCATTTCGCCACGAGCGACAGACAGAACCAGTCAACAGGAGTGGGTATGTACAACTGATTGGAGGGAAGTAAAGGAACACGGCTGCTGCGGCGCCGCTCTGTAGCGCTCTGGTTTGTGCGGTTGTTGGCCATTGCACGGTGTAATGCATCTATCTCCTTGTCTGCCTAGGAAGCGGCATTATCAGTTTCTCTGGAGGCGGGAGCTGCTGCAGCGATCCCTGTTTTCCGCCTCTCTGCTCTCGCCCGGTCCGGTTCGGCGCGGCCTCGCGGGCCCTCTGAACTCGCCCCCGATATCCGCCCACCGCCCCCGTGTACCGGCCCCGGTGGGGTGAGAACAATGCCGGGCAATTAGTTCGGTCCCCGCCCCGGCTGTCCGGGAGCCGGAGATCAGACCCGGAGCTGATCCCGGCCCGGCCCCGGGTCCGGACCGCTCCGTTACATCGCCCGGAGACCTATCGCCGCGTCTGATCTGGCCCCGCGGCCCGAACACGAGCGTGCCCCGTCGGCCGATAGCGGGGCCGTGTCTCCCGTGTGTCTCCTGTGTCTGTCTCTCCGGTGTCTCCTGTGTCTGGACGATCTCCATTGTTTGTCCCGTGCCCTGCGTCTCAGCCATTTCGTTGGTTTGATGTGTCTCTGATTGTTAGCGACGGGCCGGTGGCTTACGTCGAATGCTTTTGATTGTGTCGCGTGAATTTAGGAACGGCCAGTGAGTTGTAGCGGTCCCAATTACCATAATGTCTTTATAAGGCAGGGTCTTGTCATTGTCTTGGGTTTGATTGAGCCAGGAGTTGACGCTCTACGAAGGCAGAAAGGTGTCTGTTCTCTGTATGACCGAATCGTCTCTCTGTTTCAGGCTGCTGTTGCCGATGGCACCGGAGTAGTGTGTTCGGCTGGTCACTAGACCGGGACCAGACCAGGCCTGCAGAAGACCAAAGTTCCGCATCGCTTCGCTTCTACTGGCAGCAGGTGAGCCAACGGTCTAATCGGTAATAGTTACAGAATACTGTGTTAGAACGCTGAATGTGAAATAGCCATAACCCGAAATGTAGGTACTGTAGCGCACATTGCTTTGGCGTTGCTGGTCTGTTCGGTGTGTCTCGTCTTTGCACAGCGGTGCCAATGCGGGTCACTCATTACCCCGCTCTATCAGCCGTGAGTCTGTGACCTGCACCGTGACCCCGTGATGGCCGGGCCGGCCCGCGCCGTGACCGACGGATAACGTTCCACGGGCCCCGAGACCCGCCGGGTCAGCGGTTATACGGCTGGCCGCAACCATTGTGCACGCTGCGCTCGGTGATTGGTTTGTGCACACTGCAAAACTGACCCCGTGTTACCACCGTGAACCTCTGACCCAGCGGCAAGGCGCAGAGAGCGGGGTGTTGTTGGTTACCACTGACCTGACACACAATACAAGCCTGTTGTCTACGGCGGGTGGCGTGATCGGCTTGTGACGCCTCTCGCACCGGCTACTGCGTGTTGTGTTGTCTTCTGGGGTCCGGCCGGATAGTGTTTTATGTTTTTGCGGGTCCTGGCCGGTCGACATGAAATGGGTCTCAGCGCGGCGACTCCCACTCAAGGTCGCCACTTCTGCCGCGTGCCGGCCACCTGGATCGCCACTCAGCTCTGAGCTCTTCGGTATGAGACGAGCGCGACCTTCGCCGCTCGGCCTGCTGTTTCGACACCACCATGTGTCGGCCGGCCGGACGGCCGGACGGGCCGCCTGCGCCGCCGTTTGCATGGTGTTCATTACCCATTCATTACCTGTCGGAGGCGCGAGGTGGAGGGGATGACCGGCGGGCCAGCCAGCCGGGCCCCTCCGCCCACGGCGGCCTTCGCTGCTGTGCGGGGCCCGGTGCCCGCCGGCGCCGCTAAAAATTCTCCGCGCACGCCGACAGACCGCTGTTGTATGGTGTGGCGCGTGTAACGCATTGGCGTGCCATGCGACGAGCACGTCGCAGCGGCGCGCCGCCTCCGCCGCGGCCGTCGTGACGTTTGGCGCAGCAGTGGCCGGCGCGAATGAGGCGCGAAGTGGCCCGCCGACCGGTCTCCGAGTTTCTCTTTGTTGTTGACAAGGTGAAACGGCGTGTTGTCTGCGCGGTGCGATTGGCGGCGGCGGGCAGAGTGGGTCAGCGGCGGTCCGGCCGGAGTCGGCGCAGAGGGACCGCGGCCACCGGACCGCAGCGGGTGGTCGCCGCTAATGAGCCGGTGCGGGAGACCCTCCGGTCCGTCCCCCGGGCGGGACGCGGGCCGTGGACCGCGGCCAGACCCGCGGCACCCGGGATTTTCGCCTGATGGATGACCGCCGCCGTGATTTTCGGGCTCCCGGGTGAAGGTTAGCCGCGCCGACCTGCTCGCTCTCTCCCTCTCTAATGCGACAGCTCCGCATTCCTGGGACCGGGCCGCTATGATGTGTCTCCTCCCGTCAGATCTTTTCTCTGAAGCGGGTCCGGCTGCGGCTTCTGTGCCCGTCTGTCCTGGCAGCTTTGTGCACGGGTGGTCGGGCTGCGGGACGGTGGGTGGGTGGGTTTCAGTCCAGGAACCCTCTGATGTGGTACAGCTCACCTGCACGGGAACTGGAGGCTGGACGCGACGTCCCACGCCGGCAGGCAGAACGTCCGTGTGATGTCTGCTTTGGGTCCGTTTGATCTGCGGCTGGAGACCGTCTGATCTTTGTCGAGAGGTCCGAGCTCTGTCTGGGTACTGTCTGAAACCGTGCTGTTCGTGGGATGTCTCTCTTTGGTGTGTAGAACGTACCGTCTGACGTAATTCTGCTGTATGTTTGAGGAATGCAGTGGACCTGAGGACCACTAATTTATCTTAAATTTATCTGAGGTATGTCTGGGGTCTGTCTTGGGGGCCGTAATGTCTGTCTCAGTTGTAAATCCTGTGCAGAAATAGCTCGCCACCCTCCACCTGGCGTGCAGCACATGGCGTGCACAGTACCGACGCGTGCTATTCTCACGCACTCACACTTCACCAGCACGCACATTTGTCAGCGTGCAACAGCTCTCATACCGCCACTGTTTTTAGCACTTTCCACACGTCCGGGTCGCGGCACCCGTCACCTAACTCAGACGTGCGAGCTGCACTATTGCATTGTTGCAGCACAGGCCGGGCGTGGCGCCGCTGGCCTGCAACACCCTGTAACAGCAGATGGTATCACCCGTAACACCACCCGGCAGCTGACATTTGCTGCCGCACATATCTGCTTTCCGGTTCGCCAGCTAGTACGGCGATATATCGACTGACTGTGATTCGAGTCGAGAGTCGGGTACTCGCCATGCTGACGAGGACGTCCAGAATGTCTACACCGGGAGGGCCCCTCCGCCTTCCGCTCAGTCGGTGTCTGACGGAGATCGTGGTAGTCGACACCCAATCGACCCCAGGCGGAGAATGGCGTCACTCGCCGAGAAGTGGCGGAGAAAGGATGGTCCGTGGCCGTCGGGCGTTTTACAGGAGCTGATACCGAGCTGTGGTGCTGGGGATACGGCTGTTTTGTCCCATGATTGACCGCCTTAGACCCCCGACATGACACGCCGACCAAAATAGGCTGTCCTCGGTAGACGGAGCACAATGTTTCCGGGCAGTGTTCGATCGTGATTGACGCGACCTCTGAGGCTGGTCGTGTTCGCCGCAGGTCGGGGCGTGGCCCCACCGTCAGCGGCTGGCCGTCCCGTGCCCGTGCTCCCCCGTGGCAGCCAGCCTCCCGTCGGCACGTGTGCTCCGTGCTGCGCAGCGTGCGCGCGCCACGTTCACTCGGCTTCCGGGACAGCAGGTGTGGGGCGCCGACCGTTTGCTGACGGCGCCGGCGGTTGGTCGCTGATGACGGGTGCCAGGTGCGACATGGGGAGCGCACGGTCCCACGAACATCATACCGCCGCGCCCGAGCAGCCGTGGTGACGGACAGTCTCGAGATAGCAGGCGCCTGGTGACGGACAGTCTCGAGATGAACGAGCGCCGGGTGACGACCCCGGAGGACCAGGCGACGTGCTGGAATTTTGAGATGTTTGTCAAGGCAGCGGGCGTCCCGAGAGATGATTGCTGGCCGAGTATTTTTCGTCTACGGTCAGAATGCGAGAAGAATGCTCCCGCTGTCTTCATGAGGGATCTGTGTATTATTGGATCCATCTGTTTGCGTGCTAGCTGAGAGCTGGCTTTGTGGGAGCTTATTTAACCGTCTGAATGAAGATCGATGTCCGCCGACCCGGTTTCGGCGGGATTCTGTCGGTGCTTTACTGGCGTCAGAGGCCGACTGTCGAGATAGCCGGACATCAGCCGGATTTATGTCGCGTGTCGGCCCGTCGGCCGTCCAATAAAGACGCCGGCCGTCGACACTAATGCGGCCCCGCCCCGTGTCGGGGGCTGCCGTCCGACCCAAACGCGCTCCCCTGATCTGATCCAGATCTCGCTCTCTCTGGGTTTGGGAGGGCGGGTCGGGCTCCCAGGACCGGTGCGCGGGACTCTCGGGACCTCTGGGTAGGGCTCCCAAACACCAGGAGCGGGTTCAGGCAGCACGCCACCCGACCAGACTCTGAGAACCACATACAAGCTCCTGGGAGCCACATAGCTGCTCCTGAGGACGCCGGTCCGCGGTCCCGTGTCGACGGGAGGTGGGAGGGGTCGGAATGATGGGCGGCCCCTCCGCCGCCACCCGGCGTGCCTCGCTGCTGCCTATCGCCCCATCTAGCGCGCATCGCCGACCGGCGCGGACCCCAGCCCGTTCATTAATACCGGGCCCGTCGATTGCGGCGTTTGCCGGCCGGTCGGACGATATCGGACAGCATCGCGGCGCGCGCTCACCAAATGACTGTTTATTCACCGGCCAGCGGCGCCGGTCGGGTAACTGCTCACACCGTGCCGGCGCCGCGGCGGCGTTACTGCGCTGATGACCTGCGCAGCGGGTCAGACGGTCAGGGTATGTCACAAGGGCGGCACCTGGCTGGCGGACGGACCCATTACGGAGGTATGTGCCGGGCGAGAGGGGCGCCAGGGGATGATTACCGCCTCCTGGAATGGTCGTGAGGTGACGTCTGCGGTACGCGCCCTGTCCCAGTTGCACAACAGGCGCCTGCAGGCGGTCGGCCTCTAATGGCTTCCTTCGGTGGCCCTGGGGCCGATCGGAGGCTGCTCGGCTGGGATGAGTCAATACTGCTGTGTCAATAAGGGCACCCCGGTCCATCCGCGGAGCTCCTGTCGCAACGGTAGGTCACGGTGAGCGGCTTCTGCCGGCCCTCCGCCGCCGACCGGCCCCCGTCGAGAGCCAGCGTGAACTGCATAAATACGCCGTGAGGCGCCGCGCCGAACAGCGCCAGGCGATGTCGCCCGAGCCCAGCGGTCGAACCCCGCGGCGGACACTTCTGCTTATCGCCGACATCGACGGAGGGATGTCTGAGGAAGGGGGCGACTGCTGAGCCGCCTGAGGTCAAACCCAGCAGCGATGGAAGCGGACCTTTCCATGTGTCGTCACTTGCTCGTTCGCGTTTGATGGTGTTTGCTGTGAGCGAGACTCGATCACGTGATCCGCTCTCCGCCGCTGGTGGTCACGGTCGCCGAGGAAAAATGTGCGTTTTTGTCGCCGGTAAGCCGTCGGCTCGAATGTCTGAACACGGCGGGCCGGTGGCCGCAGCCGCCGCTGTCAGTGTCGGTGACTGGGTTTTTCGGTGTCGGCGGCGGTCGGACTCGGCCAATCAAAGTGCCATCTGCGGTGGGCCGCGGCGCTCTCGGACGCCAGCTGGCCGCTGACCGCTGACCCTGTGGCGTGTCCCGGCGGTGTCGGTTCGCGCTGACCGTGACCCGTCGACCTGCGGACAGGGAGCGCAGTGACCTGACGACCCGCCGGCCGGGCGGTCCGGGCGGCGGTTAGTGCCCCGGGCTGCGGCCGGTCCGGCGCGGCGGGCTGCGGTCAGACCACTGCAGAGTTGGAGCTGCGGTCGACCGCGGCTAGGTCGTTCCCTTGGCTGGTAGAC